TAATGTCCGGCCACCGCAACAACCCGCTCTTCGTCCAAGAAAAGCCGACTTTCCAAGCTGCGGCCTTGTGTCCATTGTCCAACCATTGTCCTGCCCGTTCTCCCTTACAGCCAATCGATTCTTTGCCAGTGCTACCTTCACCCAGCATTTGTCCACCCAAGCTGCACGTTTTCAAAGCGAAATGGTACCATGGCACAGAACCTTGGCCCTTAACATACCGCTACGTAGCGGTATCGTATACGATAGAAACTCCAGAAACGACCACCACTTGAGGAGAAGAATGGCGGCTCTCAGTAGGCCAACGGCAGGACCAGTTCGTCCCAGAGCGGGCACTGTGCCGTCCGGCGCCTCTGCCAGCGCGTGCGCCAACTCCATCGCGGAAAATAATACGCGAATTGCCTCGAACGATCAGGTTACTAAGTCGCCCCACAGCTCAATGAATCGCGGCGATTGTATCTGGCACCGACGACTCTCGAAGTCCCTGTTGAAGGCACTCCGTGACCAGAATCTCCCGCCACTGCAACAGCCCGCCCCGCTTCAAAGAAGGGCCGATGTTGTTGCGCTGCGCCCCTGAGACAGAGAAGCGTGAGCCGGCAACAAGTCAGGAGCAGAACGTCCCAAGCAGCCACTGGGCCGTCCGATGCCCTCGCCAACGTCTGCGCCGACCGCATTGCAGAAATCTTCCATGGCGATGGCCTCCGCCCGGGACGCCGCGGTGCACCGTCACCCGAACGACGGCCTGCCCCCTTCCGGCAGCGGCGCTCTCGAGTCGAGGCGGGCCGACGCGGAGAGCGACCCTGCCGGCGCCGGCCGCGATCCGGGGCTCCAGGGGCAGGGCGCGGAAGGGAGCGGCGCGGAGAGCGAATCCGCGTGCGACTACCTGCAGCGCCGGCTGGCGGAGTCGCTGTCTGCGGCGAGGGAGGCCTTCGAGGTATCGTGGCCGCCTGAGCCTCTCGTTCCTTTCAGCCTCGCGCTGTAGCTGTATGGCGACGACACGGCAGTGCGGCGATGGCTGTCGCAAGGCCTTTTCATCCTTGCTTGGAAAACAAACCCTTTGCGAGAGCAGTCTTGCCACGCAGTGGCAAAGGTTCGCCATGCGCGTGCAAGATCGATGGCGGCGATTGAGCCCCCGTCTGCATCAGCCGATTGACGGCACCCTTTGCCTGACGGGTGCCCCCGGCCGCCTGGGCTTCGCCCTCCCTTGAATCGCGCGCTTCTCCTGTGTTGCGAAGACACAGGCCTGCAGCGATACCTGCATAGATACATCGCAACGCCACTTCAGCCCTGCTTGGAAAACAAAGCCGTTCCGATACCTGTTGGCCACGCCGTGGCAAAGGTCGCCATACGGCGAGAGAGGTTTTGGCGATAAAGCGGCCGCCTGGGCATCTCGCTCCCTTCAAACGCGCGCGGCCCCATCGCAGCGCCGTTTCAGCTGCGCGCCTGCAAAGAAGTTTATGTTGGAAAACAAACATGGGGTTTGAACTGCGCGAGATCTGCTTCGCCGCGCCGCGGCAACGGTCCCCATCGCGCCCACGGTCGGGCGGGATGGCCTTGAATCGCTGCCCCTCGACGGCAACCGATGCCCCCATCGACGGCAGCCAACTGCCGGCATCCTTTGCCTGACGGCAGCACGCGGCGTCCGCTCGTCAAATTCACGACCGGCGGTGGCCAACTGGCCCTGGACTCGCCTGTTGCGTGTGATGCCTGACGCCCCACGCTTGACGCCTGACGCCCTATGCACTGGCAAAGAAATGCCCATTTTACACAGTTTCTAGCTCCGCTCGAATTGCGGCAAAGTGGTGGAAATCGTGTATTTGAAGCCTGAAACGGGTTAAAGTGGACCAAATCGCGTCAAAATCGGCAGTGCTTTTGGAGCCATTTTCATCAGTGATGTTGCTGCATGTCGCGCCCTGCAGCGCGACGTCTTCCCCAGGGCGATCGAGATCGACGCGGACATCGCATCTCTCCAGGAGGACGTCGCCTCCCTGGCCGCCGGCACAGACGCGGAGAAGCGGGCGCTGGACTCCGAGCTCCAGCGGCTGACCTCTCTGGTGACGACATTCCACCGCCACATGGAACAAATCCTGCCGGGCCTCTCCTCGGGTGGCCATCCCAGCGGCGGTGCCAGATAGGCGCGCCGTCCATTTGAATGGCGCCGGCGCCGGGGCACATGGTGTGCCGCAGCTCAGCAACGTTTCAGCAGTTTTGCCCAAGTCTCTGCAATATCTCCAGCGGTATGACAGCCCTTCTGGTGGCCACTGTATATCAAAAACACAAATCTGCGCCCCATGTTTCAACCTGGTGGCGGAATCCGCTCAGAGGCGTCTTCCCACAGATTTGTGAGCAGTCGATCTGCCTAGTTTTGCTAAAGCATTGCACCACCGGAGAATCTGTCCAAAATCGTGTTTCCATTGCTGGCCATGGGCTGCGCCGCCTGGGAGATTGCTCAGCATTCGCTGGAGCGCTGATGTAAGCCGCCGCGATAGAATTAGGAGCAATTTCGCTGGGTGATTCAACAGCAGAAATGTGCTTCCTCTGTCCGGTATTAAATAAATGGGAGACCGCAATCATGTCAAGCCTTTTCTTTTATTGTTTAAAATCAGACTGCAATACCACCTACGAGTTCTGTATATTGTCTCGAACTTTTGTGGAGAACACATTAACACAACAAATTGGGCACGGCCTCAAAGACGCCCAATCCCCAGACCATAATTTGACCCATCGCATTGGTGCGCTAGCCTGGCTGGGAGCGGCGTTCTGTGCCCAAGAACGCCCCACTCTCGAGTGCAGACTTTCTCATGGGGTCCGCAGCTCCGTGGAGATAGAGTTGATCACGCGCAGCTCAAGCTCTAGCACAACGATCGACACCCATCGCTGTGGAGCGCCGGCAGAAACGACCCCGGCATCTGTTTGCCACCATCACCGATTTCTGGGATTTCGACCCATCTTGTGCAACGACACACTGGCGTGCGTGAGATCCATTCTTGCTAATACGTTCTCAGGTACCCTGAAACCCGGCTGCTGTTGCTGCGTGCACTAAAGACTATCTATTCTGTCGCGGCTTACAGCAATGGAATGGTCGGATCTGGCCATTACTCCCGAGTAAAGCCATGACTCTCAAAAGCAATGCATTCCCACCAATCTTTTGGCGGTGAAACACTACGATGTGCAGATGGAGGTCCCTTGTGTCTGTCCAGATAGCCTTTCAGCATCCTGCGTGGTTGGCATCTGAAGTTTTGGACGGTGGCGTCTTTCAAAGCGTCGTGGACAGCCCTGATAGGCCGTCGTGGAGGGAGCACCCGCCACCTCCATTTCTGGCTATCTTTCAGCTCCTGTGCCGAAGGCTAACAGTGCAAACCTTCCAAACTTTTCACAGTGGCTTTACCAGCCTCGCTCACCCCGTGAGTGGTGGCGGAGTCTTCTGAAAGGAGCTTCGGTCGTGAACTTGACCAATTTTTCGGATTTTCGGATTTCTGATCTCCAGATGGGTATCTGGCTGGACGGGGAAATCCACGGTAGGGATCGACGTTTGGGTGGTTTTAAACCTGGTTGCACCGTCTCGCCTTGTCTTAGGGATGGCTCCGACATGCTGTTTCAACTGTGGCAGCGGCTATCCATCTCTTGGTGTGCAACGTCAAGTGCAAGGCCACCCTCTCCAGGGGTCAATTTTTGGGGTCGCCAGCCCCGAACTTGAGATTCTCCAACCGTTCCGCCCCAATCTTGCAGATTCAGAGTACTGCCATTTGCGCAGTACTTAATATTTTGACTTGAAATTTTGGCCAGAGCATTGCATGTAAGTTAATTAGATGCTCCCAAATTTTGTTAAAGAAGAGATAAGTGCGTGATGTAAATTTGGCCTGTCAAGCAAACGCGTTCATTTAGTTCCGGACAGAGGAAGTACCACCGGACTTCGGTTTCAAGCGTAGCACAAGCGTATATTTAGAATGGAAAAATTGCCTATGCGACTTGCCTATGCGAGAGGCATGTGGTCACCTCGTCCTCGCAGGTGGGGGCACCCCGTCATGACGGGCGTGGTGAATCACCACTGATGACCACGGCAACGGTGGTACATCCCAAACAAATAATTACATAGGCTTCAGATGCGCAATGCATTGTGAAGCTGTTTACATGAGCTGCCAATCCGCGCAACACTCTCACAGTGACTGGAACCTAAGTTTCGAACAATTGTCTGAATAGAAAACGTGCCCATGGGTGGCCACCTCATGGACAAGGCCCAAGATTGGTTCCCCATGTCTCCATATTCCCAATTTCCCATGTTCCCCAGAACATAGGATTCCTTAAGGAATTGTGATCTGGGTAACATGGCCATAGGCGCAAAGACAGGCTGGTTGCTCGGTGGGGCACACTGGATGCAGTAGAGGAGCGCGTGTGCACCGTGCGTGCAGCTGTCCGCAGCTGTAGAAGATGCGGCCACAAAGTTTATGAATCATCGGACTGTGTACTGTATCTTTGAACACAATCGAAAGGGAGGTTGCAGTTGTGAGTTGCAACACTACCGCACAAGGCCGTTCTGTGTTGCGATTTTGATGATGATGGAATTCCATCAGCTGGGTGCCGGCCACCGAGGGCTATGTCAGCACCCAACCGTACAAGCACAGTGTGTGCATTGTTGGTCCAAGTGTTCGTCTCACTCATGTACCTATTATCGGCCTCTGCATGTCCTGCATTGCGAGAAACCGCTTGGTAACGGCCACAGAGCTTATGAATGATCGGATTGTGTCCTGTTTGCTTGTACACAATCGAACGGGAAGTTAAAATTACGAGCTGCCATATTACCGGACGACAGCCGTTTGGCGTTGCAAGAAACCATGCCTGGTAACGCCGGAGAGTTGACATTCGCTTAACAACATGCCGGCGCCGCAAATGGGTTCGCCAAGTCTGTGATGCGACACTAATGCACACGCCACGCAACACTTACACCTCCAACGGCGAGGTCAAAAGATTATCCAATCGCGTGGGCGCTTCTGGGTCATGTCGACAACACCCGAATGCAATCCGATCATGGCCGGCTTGCATTCGCGAGTTCTCCTTGTCGCCAATCGCGTGGCCACCCATGAGTCACGGCGATCTCGGCGTTGGCCACACGAGTGTGGAGCAACTGAACCCCGCGGCGTGGTGCCGCGCAGCGGTCCCAAGCACCAATGCCCCCGGCGACGTACATAGCTGAATAACCGACCGCCTTGGCCGCCGCAGCTTCCCGCCCTTAGGTTAGTCCAGGCGGCCGCGCGTACCAGCCACATGCACCGTGACTGATCACTTTCTCACCCTCATCGTGGGCGCCGAACTACGGACCCGGATTCCGCCCACCCCCACTGGGAAGTCTGGGGCCCGCGGGGCGACATTCGCTGTGAGGAAGTCACGGCCGCGCACCGCAACAAGGGCCTGGGCGAGCGTCGCCGCTTGTCGCATCAGCCCCGCAGACCAAGCCTCGCAATCGGGACGGGAGACAGCCAGCGTCGGCCGCACCAGGCTCAGTCCGCCGCCCGGCGCACCGGTCGGTCGCCCTCGACAAAGCCCAGCATCACACCTTCCTCCATCGGTGAAACATGTGAGCCGCGCATCCTCGCGTTTTGATTGCTCCTCGGCCTCGGGGAGGCCGCGCGGCAGCGGTTCACGGCAGCACGGACGCCGCCGGCCTGCCGGACTCCCTGGATGTCCGCGAAGTGGGGTGCCGGCCGGGGCGGTGGCAGTCGTGGGTCATTGACATGCCGGATTGCTCGTTTTCTTCGCAGCGGAGTGCGCGCCCCCGCGCGGCAAGGGATGGAGAGGTCTTTCCTGCTGGCGGTGGTGCTGGCGGTGCTGCTGTCGGCAGCGCAGCAGGTGGGCCGTCTCTTCGGTTGGCCCGAACGGGGCTGTTTGACCCTGGCGATTTGACCACGGCATGGTGACTATTCCCGACAAACTTCCAAAAGGCCGCGACCGTGCAGAAGTCGGCGTTTCCAACAAGTCTGCTTCCTCAACCGAGGCGGACACCCAGAACCTGTCGTGCCCAAATTCGAGCGCAGGCTTCACCGCGTTGTGCGACGGCGACGAAGATGTTTTCGTTGCTGCGCATCACTGCAACAATCGAACCCCGGGTTGTTGCCCGACGGTCAAAGTCTGAATGTGCCCCAAACTTGGGTCTCCACTCGCCCTGTGCCCCTGCCGCTTGGTTCACGGGTTCACTTGTGTATTGCTTCATTCCCTTGTTCTGACAGCCTCACTCTCTCCTGTTCGTCAGGCGTCATCTGCTCGAGTGCCTTCGAGAAGGCAAAGAGGACCAGGTTAGTGGTCGATTATTTTCGGCTCAGTCCGGCGTAACGTGTGAAGTGTTGCAAAAATCTTGTATTTACAAAGTTATGTCTGTGATGCCACCTACTTTCTTTTTATGACAGTGGTTGTGAACGGTTGCAAAAGTGTGAACGCGCAGTGCCAATAACAGCATCGAACCTCAGAGCTCGCGTACATGCAGTTTGCGTTGGTTGTGAGGTCAAACTGCAGGACAAACACAGCCCCAAATAGCCCCCTTCCTCATGGCACCCAGCATTCTGAATGTGGCTCAGATTGTGGGACATCGGCGGCAAAAGCTCACAAGCAGGTGTCTGGCGCAGGTTTGGCTGCTATGCATAATTTGCACCAACTCCCATCGCACAGTAGGATGGTGCTCGATGAATCCTTGTCACTGGGCAGACCAGCACCAGCTCCAGCTTCAGACGATGACGATGATGCGGGCATGGTGCAAGACTGCCCAGACATGCGCACTACGGATGGGGTGCCTCCAAGCGCGTGAGTGCCTGTGGATTGAGTTAACCCACGAACATTGCACCACAACCTGCTGTGCTGCTGGAATGTGTGTGGTCTTGAAATCGTGCTATGGTATTCAGGAGGGCACCTGTTGTGTCCTGTGCTGTGGCAAGACTGCAACCCGGCAAGATGGCCGTGTTGCAGACATTTTGGGGGGCTGAATTTGCCTTTTGTGTGTGAGCAGAGAGTATTCAGGCGACAATGCTGTCGTGACATACTACAATCCCCAGGACTCGCTGTCCTTTTTGGTCGACTACTGTTCCAGGTATTGTGGCGCACTGCTATGGGCTCGTTGCTGTTGCTCAGTGACCGGAGTTTGCCCACTCCAGCTCTTTCTAGCAAAAGAGATTCTGCATCGGTACCACCTTGGCTTGTGGCAGCACGAGTGCTGCAGACATTGATCCCTAGCTCGTACTTCAAGCCACCCCTGTCCATCCAACGCAACCATGCGTTTGCCTGCTGCATTCGTGTATTGCACACTGGTATGCATGTTAGGATTCGTTGTAGGGAGGACGTGCTTTTGGAACATCTGTTCTGGGCTTTCCATGCTCTAACCACACAGCACTTGTTTATGTGCAGGCCAAGCACAGGTTGTGGCAAGGATGCAGCCAATGCCTTTTGCGAGCGGCAAGGCTTCGATTACGCCCTCTTCTATTCCAAGGACAGCAACGCAGGATTCCACTGTCGGCCCACGCGATACACGAACGACCCGGGACTGTTTTGCAAGTGCAGCAAAGAGGAGGACTGCACGTGTGACGGCTTCCGGTACATCACGTGTGCAGAGCAGTAGTGGGAAGGTTGCAAGCGGGGACGCCCCACGAGCGTGTGTGAAGTAAGAATAAAGCCAGCGGGAGCCTTCGCACTGGATTGA